CACCCCACTGCCCTTCCTCAGTGCGTGGGACCGCCAGGCTGCCGCGATGCTCTCCACCTATGGGGTTGGGGACAGGGATGGGGGGCATCAGCGTGGCCACAGCATAGTCCCCCCCCAACCCCGGCCCTGCCGCATCCTCCAGCCTGGAGGTGAGCCAGGGCACCCCAAGGGGAGGTAGCAGCTCACTGGGATGAGCAGGTCCCGCTGGTTGTGGCTCTCCAGCATTGCCAGCTCACTGGGTGCCAGCAAGGGCAGACGCAGCTCCCTCACAGGCAGGGCGGCCACCTCGGGCACTGGGCGCTCCAAGACAGCCTGCAGGACGTGACAGATGAGGCCAGTGATGCCTCAGACACCGAGGGTGTTTGGGGGAAACAGCCTCTGTTCCCATCACACAGCCCCGGGCTCAGGGACAGGGCACCTGGGTTCCCTGCCTGGGCTGGTGGGGGGTCCAGGTGCCCCTGGGTGGCTCTGCCTGGGGGGGGGTTGCCAGGCCCCCACCCCCTGGCACCCCAGTACCCCCCAGCCAGCCTCTACCTGGCATGCAGCATCTTCTTCCCAAACACCATTTGCTCCCTTTCCTCCCCTGCCCAGCCTCCAGCCACCCCATTCTTAGGGGCCCCGCTCCCCTGCCTCATGCTGTGTCCCCAAGTGTTCCCCATGCCATGTGCCCCTGGTGCTCCCCATGCCCCAGGGTACCCGTGCCATGCTCCCCCATCACCCGCAGCCATACCGCGGTGCAGCCCTCGATGAAGGCCAGGCAGTGCTGCTGGAGGTCTGCCTGCCCATAGGTCACTGCAGCCTGTGGGACAATATGGACACCTGCGAGGGGGTCTGGGGCAGGAGGGACCCCCTGCCAAAGCCCTACAGAGACATGGGCACTCTCGGGGACCCAGGTGATGCAAGCATCCCTATGCATGGGTGCCACGGTGCGGGTGTGGTGGGGAAGGGGCTGCAAGGTCCCCTCCTTTCCTGGCCTGCCCCACAGCAAAGAGTTTGGTGGCTCTACCGCTCACCACGGTCACCCAGCCCCGCTGTCAGCAGGAAGCACCTGATTTTCCACCACTGCTCAGGGATGTCACCCAGCCCTGGGTGGGCGAGGGGCCCTGGCATTGCTCTCACAAGGCCACATTGCAAGGACTTCCCCCCACCCCCCCACC